GGGAGGCGGGGGCGAAATTGGTCATTTTTGCAAAATCTGGCCGTTCCCCAACGGTCATTTCTCAATTTAACCGTTGGGAACGGTCCAATTAAATTAAAAAAAAATCCAACGGTAACCGGGCTGCTAACGGGCTGCAGCCCGTGTTCAACCCGTTAAGAAATATTGGGTTACGCGGGTTAGGTGCACCGTTAAGCTAAACGTGAACGTCCACAACCTACCCCCCTAAACAACCTGTCCCAACCCGTCCAATAGTGAACAGTAGGGGGTTGACCCGGGTTGAAGCGGGCTGAAAACGGGTCAGCCCGGCCCGATTAACAGGCTTAGGTTAGACTAAAGCATAAAAACTATAGTAAAAGTGCTATCACTAAAACATATTTCGTATTAATATGTATCCGCCTATATAGATATTTTTCTTTCATTGTGTCCTATCTTTTGCTTAGTCTGCATGAATCTCTAGAAATTGTATCTCCTCCGAGATAACTTCCTTCCATGTAATTTTAAGTCTACCTCATTCTCTTTTAATACCTTCACTCACCATGGTGACACACTTATGGACTGGTGCATCTGAAGGTCGACTTGGGACATGATCAAACCATCTCAAGTAGCACTCCCTCACTTTATCCTTGATGTGTGCTACTTGAACTTGCGAATGTGATCATTTCTAATTTTATCTAATCTTGTATGACCAGGCATCCATCTTAGAATCCGCCGGTATACTGTATATGTTTTTACTTTTTGCATCTCAAATTTAACCCCCAGATTAGCTGCAGTCATGAAAGTGTGCATAGTCCATGACATGGTCTCACAGATTTAATTCCTACTAATGCAGTGAATGAAGGAATGAGCAAAAGAGCCGTCTACAAAGCTCTGTTCGAGTCTTCAGCTCTTATTTGTGTTAGTTTTCTCCAAGTATTCCTCCTCAAGAATTTGTTTGAAAGAAAGCTGGGGCAGTCCAGAGTTTAGCTTTTGGCACAGGAATGATGATATGCTTCTGCCAAACCTTGTAAACTTTAGAAGTATTAACTTTTTGTGCCTTTTTCTGAAGGCAGATCCCACAGAAACTAGAATCACAGATGTTTTATTCATAAATTATGTTATTTCAGTACATTCTTTCAGGATTTAGTGAGGTTTTCCTAATCTCTTTGCTTGCAATTCCTTTAAAGGCCATGACATGGTCGATTGCTGAATTTGATAAATCAAATTTTGTAATCAGCAATCATATATTTGCAGTGGCAATTTCCCATCAAGTAAATAGAATGTTGTTTCAAATTCTCTAAGGGAACTAATTGGCAGTAGTTCTGCATATACCTGCATTTTGTTTTCCTTATTGACAAGCACTTGATTATTTATATTCTTTCTTATTTTTTTTGTTGATATTCGAGAAATTCCCTAGCTGGCGCCTGGTTCAAAATTCGATAGATAACATACTCAACCCCCTCTATCCTTCCACTTAAATACTAGGCTTTTAGCATGTGTAGGCTGCATCTGACTATACGAAGAAATCAGTGGCTGGAGAAGTTATCTTGCATGAAGTCCTGGAGTAGTGCCATAACAACATGCGTACGGTTTCTAATCTTACTCCAAACCTACAGATCCTTAGGTTGTTAAATGTTTTCTATAAGCCTGTTATTTGGTAGTTTAACAGATGTCGACAATTATATAGCTGCCAGATACACCAATTTTACACATACAACTCCAAATGGCTGCATAATGCAAGTTGGTCGTGAATACGCAATAAGTTGGTAAGCTTGGCACCAGAAAAACCTATGCAAACAAGATATGATTGTGATGAAATTATCAGAATAATAATAGTTGAGATGTGCTAACCACACGTATATGAAAGCAATCGAAAACTTGTCTGCTAAATGTAAAATACAAATACATCACATAGGTACATCAAACATGTCGTTTTTCATATTCTCCCCACTATCACAAGTTTACAAGACAAAAAGTGACTTGAGCAATTCCTCTGTCTCCAGCGCCAACACAAAGGGAGTTCTGGAGTTTGTTATGAATATGAATTCAATATTCGACGCGGGCAGATAGATAACCTTGTCAGGATTCTGCATGGGGGCTTTGCATGCAGCAAAACCATTTTTTCTGCAAAATAAAAATTAAAGTGAAATTCTGAAAGATAACAGGAATGTTTCAGAGGTTCACCAGAGAAATGTTAGTGTCAGTTCAAACATCACAGCCCAGTTGTTGGGTAAGTCAATCTAACATTAAGATCCAGTCATAACTAGCCACAAAGATAAATTTCAAAGAGAGAACAAACAAAAATAACAACAGCAACAATAAATTGGCCCCGATATTCCAAGACTAAGTTTGAGAACAGGTAACCAAGTCTTCCCAACTTTCGCCACCATGCAGCATGTCAGGAGAAAGATACGACGGAAAATAAAAAGGTAGTATATTCTAAAATAAAATTGTGTCTACCTTTCTCCTTTTTTCCAATACCTTCAACAGAATAGGGGATTTGCACAATTTGTAGTCATGTTTTTGTCGCACTGGCTCAAGCATTTATAAAATCTTTGATTACTTACAATAACAACAACAACAACAAACCCAGTGAAATCCCACATGCCATAAGTGGAGTCTGGAAGGGCAGTGTGTAAGCAGATCTTACCCCTACCTTGTGCAGGTAGAGAGGAAAATCTTTGATTACTTATCAAAAAAGAAATTATCAAAGTCGAAAAGAAGAGAATATGTTGGGATTAAAGGGGTAATATCAGTTGCTCCCCCCCCCCCCCCCCCCCCCCCCTCTCCCCCAAAACCCCAAAAGGAAGTTACTACGGGGTGGAATTCTTCGAATTCCCTAGTTATTTGTCCCAAGTACAAGCTAAAACACCAAACTTACCTGACAATTAACTCCAACCTTAAACTAGAAAGTTCCATTCAAGAGAAGTCAAAACAAAAGGAGTAAAAAGACCCGTTTTCAGCACCAGGGTATAAGATCCCATGTACAGTCCTTCACTTGTTATAGATGCTCACATCCAGAAAAACCCATGGCCAACTTAGAAACAAAGTTTTTCTAATTAATTTTCTATTCAACTTAGTTAGACGAAAGTATGCAATAAGTAAATTACGAATTTTATGCTTCGGCTAACAGGACAAATTTTTATTCTCTCCCCACTTACAAAAATTTAAGGAGCCAACACAGTGGTGTTTATGAAGACTATTTTATTAGGAGCAAGAGTTTTACCTATGAGCAGAGACGGGAAACAGGCGCCATAAAATTGTATATAGCTTTAAATATCATAAATAAAGTTTTCAAATATATTAAAATATGAAATATTTCATAAGAAATCATAAGAAATATTTACAAAAATGGATTAATCTATTTAGGAATATTTTATATCACCAATTATTATTTATAGAACATTTTACATAAACTAAAGTTAAACACATAAGAGAAAATGTTCTGTGGCCCATTATCCGAGTTTCGAAGCTAGAAAACAACGATTTCTCAGTTAACAAAATAACATGCCATGGGGCGTTCATGCAAACTAGTGAATTTCTTGCTGGAGAAGTTCACTACCTAAACCTAGAACGATTTCCGAGTCGAGTCCCTACATTGGCTTAAGCTTATTTTATCGTTGATCGTCCCGGTTTAGACTTTAGACCCTCAACTCCATTGAGGTTTTTATAAATTTGACTAGGCGCTTTGTATGAAGGTTAGCCAGCTTTGATGGATTATGCTTGGGCAACAATGCAGTTCCTCCACCCTATATGAAGTATGCGACTATCCTATTGACCCTATACATACACTCAAAATATTTTGGATCATTTATATGAAGTTTAATCTCTCAATTTTCTCCTAATTCAGCTCATTCGCGATCAAACTCTTTCATTGATCTTTCAAGTAATATTGACTACTTGATTACAATGTAATTGACAATTTATTTTGAAAAATGTTTCATGAAGAACACTCCAAATCAGGACCATAGTATCATAGCCAGATGCTACTAAAGATAGCCTAAAAGCGGCTTAAGCTTGGACATTGGATAACACTCCGGCCATTCTTTCTTCTCCTTTATTCTTTATTTTTTCTTCGGTTGGGGTGGGGAGGGGTGGGGGATGATGGAGCGGCTATGATATTTCACCTCTTTGATAATAAAAATCTTATGTTTTATACGCAAAAACTCTTTATATGAAGATGTATGCTATAACAGCCAAATTATCTCAGTTTTAATTGTGTGAAGATATTTGGTTAGGAATACATAAAATAAAATAAGAGAGAGGAGGAAAAAGAAGATCATAGTGGTAAAAACGTTCACATTGAGTTATAAGATCAACTTACAGCTTGAGGTTTGAACGGGTCTGCAGCTTGCTTTGTATTGGAATCAGCCTTTGAAGGTGATTCTGGATTGCCACCTGTTTTTTTCTCATTTCGGGCCTTGTTGAAGATCACCGTGAATCCCTCTGCTGAAGCTGGGTCATTGACATCCCACTCACCAAACTTAGGCAATGGTTGACCCTTCTCCTGCTGATGGTTAGACATAAAAAGTGAAACAAGAAAACACAAAATAATTGGACAAGCATGAGAATACTCCCTGATATATTGATATATGTATATTGTTAAGCATGCGCATTGGAGTTCCTGAAGTAAGATTATTCGGAATTTTTTTTGATCCTTCTTATTTACTTCTTTAAAACCTTATTTGATGGAAAGCACGTGATCTTATGCGCTTAAAAGGAGCTAGTTCCCTAAAAATTTCATTCTACAAGTTCAACTAAGTAATCTAAGCATGGTCAAATTCTCCATGTCTTCCTACAAATCCCATTATGCAACCAAACAAAAAGACACCACTAGATTTCCCATTCTATTTTCTTGCATGAACTGCAGTTCATATCAAAGCTGATCCAGAACATCTGAGTTGCATAAATCGAGGTACGTGATAAAAGGATTATTCTTTGATATACGATAAGGATCTGATCATGGGGCTCGCTCAGTGATTGGAACAATATACATTTGTGAAATCCCAAGTAACAGGTTTAGATCTTTAGGGGCCAATCAGTAGCTAAAGTCACTCTCTCATAATCCATTGTCTCTTCTCAAATTTTCCTTCACCTACCGCCTCCCCGCATTTATTTCACATAAATAGATGAAGGGTAACAGCCAAATATTTGGAAACTGGCATCATAGTCATCCTCTGTTAAGAAGTTCTTAAACCACTATGACCTCAATCTCTGTAAAAGGGCCTTGATACCTTCAACGAGTTCTAAGCCTGAAACGCCATAATATTCATATGATCCATAAACTTCTTAGACATCTCAAATTAACTCCAACTGGGGAGACATATATTTTACCATCAAGAAATGCATCGGCATAGAGGATTTATGCACTAAATATAAGAAGCATGTCGTAGAACTTATTGCATTAACTAGGAGTTAGAAATCTACACACGGCACTACCAGTGCTAAATTATGCAAGCCAAACAACAAAGAGTTACCAAGTCGAATTAATCAATAGAATCTCCATATTAATCGCAAAAGACCGTACAGTTATAAGGACACATCACAGTTCACCTACCAAATGCATCCATAAAAATCCTACATCGAATTCCCTTTTCTGCTCTCAGCAATAGAACACATCAATTCCAACTTCATATGCAATTAAACATAGTGGACTAAGTGTATACTTTACCAAATTTCGGCGACCCAACAAGGAAAAACATGGAGTGGCACAATCTATAGAATATAACTTACGAGGTTAATCAGACCATACTACCAACTCTACCAACTCTTCATTTGAAAATAGATTAAGTGAAAAGAAAAATAATTATCAAATGATGAATTTTATAAAGAGACTAACGGAGGCCTCTAGTAACAACTTTTCTTTTTAATGACAGTGGCGTCTAAGCATCTAGTGTGCATCTCGACTATTCCACCAAGTACCTGGTATCTCACACCAGCATTGGTAGTAACAATTATGATATCAATTAAAGTTCACCCTAATAAACACTGGTAAAGTACCTCAGGAGCAGTCAAAATACAACAACAAAATACTTTTTTTTTTTGACGATCTAATTCAAAGTAAATTTCATAAGAACAAAGCGATCAATCAAAATTCAGAAACTGAAAAAACATATAACATGAGAGAGCTAATTAACTCATGAGGTAATTCGGAAAAGGTAAATAAAATCGAGTAACCAAAAACAAAAAAAGAAATATTATATGGACAAAAACCCAAATTTAAGGCTGGATTGTACACATACCGACATGAATCCGGGAATAAGTCACAAGTGTTCTTCAGAGAATATGACTGGTGCTGTACAGCAAGAGAGAGAAAGTTAAGAGGAGAGAGAATTTATGAGAAAGAGTATATAATAGTATGTGTGTGTGTATAGGTGGATGAGGTGTATACTGGAAATGGAATATGAAAAAAATGGTAAAATGAGAAATATAGAGAGATAGAGAGTGGTGGGTTTAGGTGGGCTCCAGGGATGCATTTTGTGGGACCCCACACCACACCATGTGAACCCCACACAACTACTCTTTTACGCTCGTTGGCTCATGGCTGGCTGATTCTGATTGAGTGATTAAGCAAAGAACGATTAGTCCAAAGGCTCTAAGCCTAATATGCGTATTTGATGTCAGACTTACAAACTTGATCATACACACAATTTCACTTGTAGTGGTAAATGTTGGTGATAGCCGATTCCAACTTATTTTGTTACTGAAGTATAATTGCTAATTTGGGTCCTTAAAATATATATAGCATAAAGGCTGTCACAAAAAATAAAGTCGGACCCCCATAAAATAAACGGTAATATTTATTTCCCGTACATATTTTTCTAGGTCGTAATAGATTTAAGGATGTCAAGCTAAATTCATAAGGAAAATTTGAGCTAAGCATAAAGCTACCAGTTGCTTGATTCAGGATTGTATTGGTCAAAATCTGACCACTGCGGTCAAGCTGACCAACATCCCGTCCAAACGGCAAGGTAGCGAAAAACGATACGGTCTTTTCCATATCCCGCGCTCACGATACCGTCGAGTCAGAAGAAATAACGTTCAGGGAACGATCAAGGCAGACATAGTGTGAAAGAGCGTCAGACCAAGTACATAGCAAAGGTCCCATGACTATATATAGTAGGAGAAAACCTTCGGTAAAAGGTTTTTTTTTTTTTTTACTTCTTTCTCTCTCCCTAGTTCTCTCTTCCGTAATCTTGATAACGAAAAGAAGAACGAAGCATTCTTCAAGAAAATATGTAAAATAGTCTCCACCTTAATGGGAGCCATAACGGAAAGTTTCAATAAGATTGATTACCTCTATCTCATCTTATGTATTACTTTTCCAATTAGTTTATTGATCTGGAGTTTATTGTGGTTGACTAAGATTTACCCCTTCATTTTTTTTTAATTGATTTATTCAAAAATGTTCCAATATTTTTTGAGTGAAACAATTTAGCGCCGTCTGTGGAGATTTCTTAGTGAAATTTCCTAGTCTCTTCCAGATCAAAAATCGGAAACACGATTGCCAACCGAAAAGAGCACTAAGGCAAATCCCAACCCACACAGGACAAAAGCACAACATAGAAGGGGAAAGAGAGCTGGACACAATCACCGAATTCAGGAACCATCGCCCCGTCACCATCGAAATGCCGGGCAAAACGAGCAACGTTGCAAATCCACCCTCATTCACCGACTCATCGGATCAGGGTAAGGAAAATATCGCTTTGACTCACCTTCTTCTCTTTTCTCAAACAGGAACACAAGCGCTACGCAGGCGAGCAACCAAAGAAACACCTCAATCGGAGAATGGGAAACTACTATATAACAACCGAAATATCGCCCACCAACGACATCTCCAGACCGGAATGCGAAAAGATTAGACAAGGAAACTCCAATATATGCATGAAACGAACGTGAGCAAAATAGCAACATTTCGTACTCTCCGATATTACACTACTCCAACGCGAACGGACCTCATGATTGACGATGAAAATGGCACTCCAAAATCGTTCCAAGGTCGGCTCCCATGGAAGAAATAAGATGAAAATGAGCAAAACCCCCGTGCTTAACAAGGCATTCTGCTCAACGATCATCGCACTTGCGTTCACTTGACCGTATCTACGGTCCCGTAGGTGCGGTCTAAACATCGTATATGCGGACACCCCTACCTCCAGCACTTCGCTTTTGTGGACAAGGGTCCGCTTCTGCAGGTCCGCTTCTACAAAATTCCTCCGCTTCTTCACTTCTTCATCCCAAGACCTCTTCCCACTTCTGCGGAATACACTTCGCACCTGCGGAAGCGCACCTGTGCTTGAACCTTCGCATCTGCGGAAAACCACTCCACCTCGCCTCTTCCGCTTCTGCGCTCCATTGCCCGCATCTGCGAGCTCGTAGATGCAGAAAAAGTTTGGGTCCTGCAGCCACTACCGAGCTCGCCCAAAACCGCTTCTGCGATCACTTTGGTCGCTTCTGCTGCTCAGCACCTACGGTCAAAACCTCGCAGGTGCGGTTACTCCAGATCTGCTGCCACCAGAAATTGCATAAGGACAAATTCTCACTCTGATTCCAATCTGAATCAAACCCGAGGCCCCTGGGACCCCATCCAAACATCCCAACACATCCCAAAATATGATACGAGCTTAGTCGAAGCCTCAAATCACGTCAAACAACATCAAAACTAAGAATCGACGATTGCAACCTTTCTTTAACTTTCAAACTTTAAACTTCGCCAAACACGTATGAATTATGCTTAAACATTTTGAAATGACGCTAAACTTTACACACAAGTCATAAATCACAATACAAATCTATTCCAAGGCTCGGAATCCTGAACGGACATCGATAACACCAAAATTCACTTCAAATCAAACTTAAGAAATTCTTAAACTTTCAAAATGCGAACCTTCTATAATAGGTGCTGAAATGCTCCCGGACCACCAGATACTCAACCCGAACATAAACACAAGTCCGAAATCATCATACGAACCTATTGGAACCTTCAAATCTCGATTACGAGATCGTTTACTCAAAAATCAAACCTTACTTAACTATTCCAACTTAAGGCTTCCGAATTGAGAATTTTCCATCCGGATCAACTCCAAACTTTCCGAAATTCAATTCCAACCACACGTACAATTCATCATACATGAAGTGAAGCTACTCAAGACCTCAAGCTGCCGAACGACGTACTAGAGCTCAAAACGACCGATCGGATCGTTGCAAATAATATAACTTGAGCGAGTTCAAGATTCATCTGATGTGATGTCCTTTATTTTGGATTAAAGCCCAAAAAGATAAAACCGTGAGGTTTAAAAGTGTCAAAACGGACAATATCTTAACAAATGGGCATGTGCAACGATTACATAATGGTATCAAAGCTAGTACTTCCTTTAGTACGATAGTGAAGCAAATCTCATAGAGAATACAGTGAGTCCATACCAGTGGCGAAGGCAGGATTTCCGCTAAGGGAATTCAAAATAAAAATTAAAAGAAATTGTGGCTAGTGAAAATTGAATAAGCAACCTAACAAAGGTTTTGAGCCCCCATTGACCACTGAGCTATGCTTTTAAGCAACAACAAGGGAATTCAAAATATAATATATAGAGGTACAAACCAAATTTTACCTTATATATAATATAATTTCCGGAGAAAGGAATTCGGGTAAACCTCTTCCGCCCCCTAAATCCGCCCATGGTTCCTACAGGGCTGAGTAAAACAGCCCATTATGAGCTGTTGACTATGGAACACGATTTGCAAGCATAGTCCGTGTCTTTTTCTGGAAAGTTTTAATGTGAAAGTTTGATAAAAATATGAAATCGTGCCTTAAAACTCATTTGAGTTGACTTCGGTCAACGTTTTAAGCAAATAAATGGGGACCAATATTTTGACGGTCCCGATGGGTCCGTATCGTGATTGGGACGTGGTCATATGCCTAAAATTGAATTCGGTAATCCCTAGCTCTAATTATCGCAATTTATTGAAAACTAGAAGCATAAAGGTTTAAAGAATTAATAAGTTTGACAGATTTGACTTTTTTGATACCAGGTCTGGATTTTTATTCTAGAACTTGGCGCAGGTTCAGTACTGTATTTATGACTTTTCTGCAAATTTTGGTGCAAAACAGAATTGATTTGACGTAATTTAGACGTCCAGTTGAAATATTTGAAGTTCTTACGTTTCGTTGAAATTTTTATTCGTTTTGGTGTCCGATTCAGAGTTCTAGGTGTTATTTTGGTATTTTGATTAAGCGAGCAAGTTTGTATGATGTTTTTAGACTTGTGTGCATGTTTGGTTTGGGCCCCGAGGGCTTGGATGAGTTTCATACTGACATGGTTGAAAGATTTGTAGAAGTGTTCATGGATGATTTTTTTGTGTTTGGATGTTCTTTTGATAATTGTTTAATGAACCTTGATAAAGTACTTGCCAGGTGTGAAGAGATGAACCTGGTGCTAAACTAGGAAAAGTGTCATTTCATGGTACGTGATGGTATAGTTTTGGGGCACAAGGTGCCCAAAGATGGTTTGCAGGTGGACAAAGCAAAGGTGGAAGCGATTGAAAAAGTTCCCCCACCGACGTGCGTCAAAGGCATTCGCAGTTTCTTGGGCCATGCAGGTTTTATCGTCGTTTCATTAAAGATTTTTCGAAAATCTCATCTCCTTTGTGCATGCTTCTTGAGAAAGATGTCCCCTTCAAGTTTGATGATGCCTGTTTGAAAGCATTTGAGGAGTTTAAGGGAAGGTTGGTGACTGCACCAATTATCATTGCTCCGGATTGGGAGCAACCATTTGAGTTGATGTGCGATGCGAGTGACATAGCAATCAGAGCTGTTTTGGGGAAAAGGAGAAATAAGATCTTTCACTCCATTTACTATGTGAGCAAAACTCTGAATCCAGCCTAGATGAACTACACAGTTACTGAAAAAGAGTTGCTTGCAGTGGTGATGGCATTTGACAAGTTCAGATCCTATTTAGTGGGAACCAAAGTCATCGTCTACATAGATCATTCAGCTATCAAATACTTGTTTGAAAAGAAAGATGCCAAGCCAAGGCTGATTCGTTGGGTCTTCCTCCTGCAAGAGTTTGACTTAGAGATCTGAGATCGAAAAGGGACAGAGAATCAAGTGGCTGATCAATTGTCCAGATTAGAAAATTGGAGCCATGTAGCTGAGGGAGAGTCAATCAAAAAAACATTCCCTAATGAGCAGTTATTAGCAATCACCTCAAGTGAAGCCCCGTGGTATGCCGATTATGTGAACTTTATCGCAAGTGGGGTGACACCACCATTTTTGACACTTGATAATAGAAGAAGATTTCTACATGATGTGAGGTTCTACATGTGGGATAAGCCATTCCTATATAAGCATTGTGCATATCAATTGGTACGAAGGTGTGTTCCTGAGGAGGAGATGCACGCAA